GTTTTTACTAATGTACCCATTTGGTCCCATTTGAGAGCATTGGTTTTTTCCAAGGTATTTCAAAGTAATAATGACGTGATAACAATACTCTATGCTCAACCAAAAATGGTTATTTTTTTGTTTTGTTAAATATAGACTGCTTTTTTGATGTTTCAGCATGTGACAAAATAAAGTTTTCACCTTCGGCAATTCCTAGTTATAAGCACTCGGGATTCTTTTCATGCACATGGAATCCAATGAGAACTCGATAGATCGAGTGACTAATACAACACTTCGGTAATAATCTTCAATATGATGAAAGACAGGAGAAAGTGATAAGGTCAGAAAAACTTAGAGGAACAAGCTTGAACTAGAATAACTCTCGGTATTTAGTTGCAAGACGTGACCTTATGACAAGTAAAACTAATAAACTAGAAATAAGTAACCAATCAAATGACAACAACGAATGTCAATGAGAAATCATATGGTTTATTTCGGTTGTGTCATATAATTTCATGGATTCTGTATCTGTTTTTCGTTTTGTTTATTACCATTTTAGACAGTTCCAAATGTGAAATTGTAGATGTTCTTCTAGAAGATGCCACAATCACATCAACACGTGATAATCATTCTGTGTCAGTACTACGTGATGTAATCATGTCTTGTTCTTAAATTCTAATCAAGACAAAGAAGTCATGCTCTAAGTTTTGGAAATCAATCTGCTTATTACATTTTTTTTTGTTCTCTCTTCGTATAACATGAATTGCTTATCTTTTTGATTTGGAAACTTACTCATTTCATGACATTGACATGAACACAGTTGATTTTGATTACTGAACTATTGTAATCAATCATGAATTGCATTTCTACTGGCGATAATAATAATGATTGATTTCTTGAATACGTTGTTGGATTGATCATTTATTGTTTGTCGGTTATATTCGTATAATAATAATCATATATTCATTAATAACATTATTATTGTTGTTTTTCTCGATCATACTACTTATAATGTTATAATAGTAGACATACATACCTACATATGAACATTTGCATTTCTAATCATTATTATTATTTCTTTAATGGTATTTTTTAATAATCATTCATATATACACCTGATCATGGTAGTAAACAACGACGATGATTATATGTTTTATTAATAAAGTACAATAAGAATTCAATTCATAATTGTGTAATAATTAACATTCAATATAACATTATTCATAGTATAATTATGTAGAATTTTCATTTCGTAGTTATTCGAATTTCTATCATTAACATTCATTGGTGAAAGTTGTATCGAATATATATATGCAATATACAACCACATATTTACGTAATTCATCGCATAGAAACATTTACTTCAATGGTATGGTATGAAGTTGTCTTCATTTTACATTCCTATATTATGACAATTTGCTCAACAACAATAACTCCGCCTGTAGCTCTTCTAGAGTTACTGTCAGTCTCAAACCCAGGTAAAGGAAGAGGGATGGGCAAGGGCTTAGCGACCCCATCCCGTAGAAAACTAACTCGCTAAAAAACGCTAACCATAAAAAATAATTCAAATCATTTCAACTCTACCCTGAGAGTTAGATAGTCTTCATTTAGGAGAACTATGACGCCTCATAGTGAAAGCTGAGCTCTTTCGGAAGCCGGGAGGCTAATGCTCCTTCTAACAACCAGAGCAACAATCTTTATAGGTACATGGAACGTCCGGACAATGTGGGAGACCGAAAAGACCAGTCAAATAGCAACGGAAATGAGGAGATACAACTTGGCAGTACTGGGAATCAGAGAAACCCATGCTGGACAACAAAGGCTAAATACGGGAGAGATGCTACTATACTCCGGTCATGAAGAGGAAAATGCTCCACACACTCAGGGAGTTGCTCTAATGCTGTTCAAAGTAGCAAGAAATGCACTCGTAGGATGGGAATCTCACGGATCTACAATCATCAAAGCATCATTCAAGACAAAGAAGGAGGGGATCACAGTGAATATTATCCAATGTTATGCACCCACCAATAATAGCAACGACGGCTGTAATCAATCATAGAGAAGTGCCCTAGAAAGGAATTCACCATTCTGATGGGAGATCTAAATGCCCAAGTCGGAATAGACAACACCGGATATGAAGATATCATGGGACGACATGGACTGGGAGAAAGAAACGAAAATGGAGAAAGATTTGCAAATCTATGTGCATTCAACAAATTGGTCATAGGAGGCACAATATTTCCACACAAGCGTATACACAAGGCTACATGGATCTCACCGGACCACGTTACAGAGAACCAGATAGATCATATTTGCATCAACAAAAAATTCCGAAGGACAATGGAAGATGTGAGAAGCAGGGGAGGAGCTGACATAGCTTCAGATCACCATCTAGTTGTGGCCAATGTAGAATTGAAGCTAAAGAAGAACTGAACAACTGGAAAAACAGCATTACAAAGGTTCAATACAGCCTTCCTTCGAGATACTGTCAAACTCAATGAATTCAAGATAGCTCTCAACAACACGTTCCAAGCCTTACAGGATCTACTGAAGGAAGAAGAAACTACTATGGAGGAAAAATTGAAGGGTATCAAAGAAACATTAACGTGTCATGAGCTTCTGGGTCTAAAGAAGCATCATCATAAGGAATGCGTCTCTATAGAAACACTGGACATGATCAAAGGAAGGAAGAACAAGAGGATAGCAGTTAACAACAGCCGAGCACAAGCTGAATACACAGAAGCAAACAAGCAAGTGAAGAAAAGTGTTAGAGCCGACAAGAAGAAATATGTGGAAGAAATGGCAACGACAGCGGAAAAGGCTGCAAGAGAAGGAAATATGAAACAGCTTTACGATCCAACGAAGAAACTAGCAGGGAAATATAGTAAACCAGAGACCGGTCAAAGACAAATAAGGCAGGCCAATCACTGAAATTCGACAACAGAGGAACACATGGGCAGAGTACTTCGAGGAACTCCTGAATAGGCCGACTCCAGTGAATCCACCGGACATCGAAGCAGCACACACAGATCTTTCTATAGATGTCAATCCACCAACGAACGAAGAAATCAGAATGGCCATCAGACAAATCAAGAGCGGTAAAGCAGCAAGACCCGACAACATACCAGCTGAAGCACTGTAGTCAGACATCGAACTAACTACAAACAGGCTTCACCTTCTATTCAAAAAGATTTGTGAGAAGGAACAAGTGCTGATGGACTGGAAAGAAAGACACCTTATCAAGATTCTAGAGAAAGGATGTTTGAGTAAATGTGAAAACTACAGAGGCATTACACTATTGTCAGTACAAGGGATAGTCTTTAACAGAATGAAAGTGCACTTTTGTCTGTTAGTTGGCAGGTAAATTTATCAAGGTGATCAGTAATTTCAAATAATAGTCGAAATTTTAGCTATTAGATAAATATAACTTGGGCGAGACTATAATTTATGAGAAAACCAATCAGGTATAAGATACTAGGTCTTAGATTTTCGCGCGAAATTCGCCCATTCATTCGGGTAAATAAAGTTTTGTGATTATAGATGATGTCAGTTTGTGATGAGAACCTTAAATCCAATTTCTAACCTTAACCATCAACTGCAAATCGCAATTCTGATTCCGTATCCTGGTTTATAAACCTCATTTGGTCCTAGTTACTAGGCAGGCACTCAGAGGTCGTCCATAAATTATTGACTCATTGAAGATTCTTCGTCAACCAGATAGACGTATAGAATACAGTAAGTCTCACCGTAACTTGTACTTATTCTTCGAGTAATGACTTTCCGAGCCTCTACGTTTTGTTAGTTGATTTAGGCAGTGAATAAATCATAATCACGATTTCCACGTTTAGAAATCTTACGAAGATATCCTTACTCGTATCATGAAACCAAATTATCGGTCCAACTGTGGTTTGCACGTTACTCATTATCCATTCATGAGTCGAACTTTGGGAATTATCATTAAACAAATTATGTATAACGAAAATAGGATACATGGTGCGGCTGAGAATCATCAATCGATTGAAATAACCGACCATAGATCAGTTCACTACAAAAGATTGTTAAATACACTAAGATACAATTCATACTTATGATTTAGTAGTTCAAATACACAAAAGGAAAAACAAAATTCTCCGATACAACACAGCATTTCACAATCGAATCACACTTGATGGAGTAGATTTGGAAGATGTAAAAACCTTTACACATCTGAGCAGCACCATTGATGGACACGGAGGATCTGATGCAGATGTGAAGGCGCGGATCGGCAAAGCAAGAGCAGCATATTTACAAATGAAGAACATCTGGAACTCAAAACAGCTGTCAACCAACACAAAGGCCAGGATTTTCAATACAAATGTCAAGACAGTTCTACTGTATCGGGCGGAAACCTGGAGAACTACGAAAGCCATCATGCAGAAGATACAGGTGTTTATTAACAATTGTCTATACAAAATACTTCAAATCCGTTGGTCAGACACTATTAGCAACAACCTACTAGAAGTTAGTGACTTCAAGCACTGATGCCATGTTTTGGTTTGGCCGCCCCTAACTTTCTTCCAACCATCTCCAACACCGGTTAGCATTGTACGTCGTGGTAATCGGTGGCCAGGCATGCGAAGCACGTGGCCCAACCATCTCAGTCGATGAAAATTCACAACCTCATCAACTGATTTACCACGCCAGCAATATTTCTAAGACATCTGTGATCAAATACTAATAGCTTACAAGTATCTTCAACTCTTAGTGGCCATGTTTCGCTGCCGTAAATTAAAACAGAACGGACTGCCGCAAAGTATACTCGTCCTTTTATTGATAGACGGATATGTCACCTTCACCATAGGTGACGTAAGTGGGTAAAAACCAAGCGAGCTTTCCGAATCCGTGCTGAGATTTCGTCAGACACCAACCCATTAGGGCTGGTCAGACTTCCAAGATAAATAAAGTTGTCAACGCGTTCAGATATTGAAGCAGATCAATCCTAAAACTACAACTAAAATCTATGATATTACAAACAATACAATGATCAATTTACATAGTGGTTATTTACTCTTTTCAATTTATTCATTCACAGCACATAAATATATTGTCTCTTTTGAAATGCACAACGAAATAAAGCGATGGAATTTTGAAAATAAAATATACAAATTAAAATAATATAAACAAAAGAAAAACAAAAAGAAAACATAAACAAAAAGTAAAATAAAACTGTTTTTATATATGGAAAGTAAACCGATTCGAATACATTGGATTCATTTGCATTGTTGAACAAAGTGTTGCTCTTTACACACACACACATGAACAAACTAATTGAATCTAATAATGATAAGCAACAATATCTTGTTGTAATGGATTCGGTGCAGGTAATGCTACTAATGGTTCTTGATTTTCTACAATATTGTCATCATCATCATCAACAACTTCATCAATAATCATTTCAGGGAATTGATTACCTAATATTTCTGCATTCATATCTGGTATTGAATCAATGATTGTACAATATGGAAATAAATATCTTAATTTAATTAAATGAATTGAATGAATTTCTGAACAAAATGATACATCTAATAATTTCAATTTATCACATTGATTAAGCATAGAAACGATAGCAGATATTGTAATATTTGTTGAACCATGTATATCTAATTGTTCTAAAGTTTCATTTAAACATTGACTAATTAACAGAAGTTCTTCCGAATTGAGAAGGCTAAAAGAGGATAAGAATAAGATGAGAAGAAGAAATTATGAAATAATATAAGGCTAGATTGAACAGATTCTAACAAACTAGAACCATAGACTGGAAATGCTATTTTCAATGATTGGGGATCAAAACAGTCATTATTGTAGCTTCCCAAACAACTTGATTGATTACTGATGACTTTGGTGGTGTGACAGCGTTACGTAATTCCTATCTACTTTTTATTGATTGTTTTGTTTTGAACGATATACCACATAATGCTGACAACATATCCATGGTGGTCTAGCTTCAACGGACTCCTGATTTCAATCTGTGAAAATTTCTAAAATCTCCACAAACCCCTTCTGATAGTAATCATCTGCTCACTGGTGACTGACTTCAAGAGATACTCCTGGAGTTCTAGTAGGAAGCCGTTACCAGTGGAGTTTAACCAGGTCTGTTGTGAGATATCAGCTCACTGATGACAATGGTATACGGTGGCGCAACTTCGTGGATTGATTGAAGTTAGACATTAACACCGTTGGATGCCGGCTCAGGCGTCTAATGACTAAGTGCTCGTGCGCGAAGCCATTAGGTCCTGGGTTCGAATCCCGCGGTGTGCGGTTCGTGGATGCGCACTGCTGAGGAGTCACATATCTAACTGTCTTGCCCTAAAAACCACAAACGTTTAGTTTAGTGTCACTATTTTCTTCCTATCGCTCTTCTTATTTATTACGAGCAATTGTTATTGTTAGTGTTGATCAGACAATTCAGTAGTATTGATTCAGGTATTTCCGATTCTGATTACTTCGGCTTTAATAAACAATATTTACTATCTAATAATAATTTTTGTCGTCGTTTTGATCGAACGATGTTGTCAAAAGGGCTCTCCACTTTAGTGGCTCGTGAATCTGACACCACAGAGATTGTATGAATGTTTGTTATCACCTATCCCTCGTATATAATCATCGACATGAATCGCGTTAGTCAATAACGGATTTAGATAAGTCAAATAACGAGAATGAACTTGTGAATACATATATTTTGTATATAAGGGGAATGGAACAGAGAGAAGAGAAACGACACAGAGTGGATATGGCTGGTAAGCCAAGCGTTAATCAATCAATAGTTATAGTTACACAAAAGTTACAGATATGTGATGAGTAATGAGTAATGGGATAAGAAATGTACACACACCTACGCGCTCATATGAAAACAGTCAAGATTGATAAGCGAATAAACAACAAGGTCAGAATGCGACTTAAGTAGAATGAACAGAATGGGCTGTCCGAAAGTTGGAATAAGGTATATGGGCTTAACATAATAACCGACACCACAAATTTAATAGATGTCCACTACAACAAGATAATATTTTATATTTGAGATGTGATATACAGTATAATCGAACGGGGACACGATACTCGATTTGAGATTAACAGACTTTAGTAACAGTGATAAGTCTTGCTACTTGAACGGTGGATTAGTATCTAACCTCCTAGTAAATGCCAAGCTAAAATTAAACAGCGACTTAAACATGAGAGAAAAGGTGTGAAATACATAAGAAACACTTTTCTCCAAAAATTCGTTTTTGTACAGGAAATATAGTTTTTATAGTGTTTTAAATGTCCTTGGATTTCATGAAAATTCTGGAGTGCTACTAAACATAGCAGTATGAGCAATCATCCAATTAGAAAACCGACATGCGACATCCTGGCAAAACTTCTAGTGAACGCTGATTGAATAAGATGCTTCTCAGTGTTTGCGCAACATTAGTTGGCTTTTTTTCAAGGAGTTTTCTGAATCTCTCCAACAAACAGTCATACGATACACATATACACAATATCCGACTGACAACTGAACATCAGACAATAGATCATAACTACAGTTTATTAACACAAAATATATACAGTGTGAAGTCTGAAGAGTTACATTGAAATTATTGTTTAAGATATAACACGAAACAGGACAGTGAGCTTGGATAAAGAGGCTCGTCTACCTTTGCTTAGTAGTTAAACATACCATACTCTCACACAACATATCGAAATCATAAAAACAATGTCATACAATATTAACGATACATGAACAGAGATTTATAATTACAATAGTCAATTAAAGCTAGACCACCATGGAAAACCTGGAAGAAGTGGACGGTCGTCTCGTCATATCATGGGACTCCTCAGCAGTGCACATCCACAACATGGCCCGCCAGCGCTTAACCACTATACCACTGAGTCGGCATCCAACGGTGTTAATGTCAAACTTCAAGTAATCCACAAAATTGAGAGACACATTCACCATTGTCTTTACTATCTCACAACTGACCCGATTGAACTCCACTGGTCACTGCTTCTCACTAGAACTCCAGGATATACATCTTGAAGTCAATCACTAGTGAACATATGTTTGAAAGGTACGAAAAAAAATCAAACTCACTTTGTTCCGGTTAAGAATAATTTTTTTAAATGTCGAACACGACTAGTTAATTGTACAATACAATTTGATTCTTGTGTTAGAACTATATTACGACACCAACCGATGTCTAATTCTTCTAATTGTAAACAATGTTCTGATATAGATGATAGTCCTGTAGCAGTCAAACTGTTGGATCGCCATAAGTTTAATGAACGTAAATTTCTAGAAAACAACATAATTAAAAAGAGAATACAACAAACTATGTGAACAACATGAAGCAAGATATCTTACAGAAAATTCAAATCTAGTAATCCAAAGTTTCTCATAAATTAAACAAAAGCTCCGTTGGCTTTGGAAACTTGCATCACTTGTGACATGAACAACAACAAGACGAGTTTATTGAGCGGTAATCCTTTTTGTTTTACTTTGTGATTGTAAAACATGGCCATTATGACAGGATATTCATAGGTTACCAGTATTCTATTATAGGTGCCTTGTTCGTGTACTTTCATTCCATCAAGTGAACAATGCTGAGGTTAGGGATAAGTTAACTGGTAAACATGATAAACCGGTTGATGAAGTAATTAATCTCCATCAACTGAGGTGGTTGTGATATGCACTGCATATGCAACAGAACCACCTTATTTGATGAGTGATGTTGGTTGATATAAAAGTAAGTTGTAAGAAAGCCAGGAGAGATCAAATCAAAACGTGATGATATTCCATGTTGCGAGTGTTGGACTGAGCTGTGTAGGTAAGCGAATACCTAGTAGGGATCGAGGCGATTATTATAACCAATGGCTGAAAATTTTAGGTGGTCTCAGAACCAAACGCAGTGACGCAAATGCATTCACTCTTAAGACCCCACATGTTCTTATGCTGTTCTACTTTTTCTACAAAATCTTTTCTACTACTGTCGTTACTAATACTACTGGGATTTCGTATATACATATAAATACATTACTGTATATTAGAGTAAATCCTGATGAGGATCTAATTGAAAACAATATTGTTCGCTTATATATATAAATATATGATCTATCTGAAAACAGTATTCTTCGTTAAAATGTCTTATGTTAAATTTAAGTAACATGCAAATATTAACAATTACTATTTACTAGTTGAAATCATGAGTCAATTGAAGCTAGATCACCATGGAAAACCTGGAAGCACTGGACGGCCGTTTCGTCCTAGTATGGGACTCCTCAATAGTGTCCACCCAGGATCCCACCCCCCGAGAGATCTGAACACAGGACCTATCAGTCTCGCGCACGAGCACTTAACCATTAGACTACTGTGCCGATATCCAACGGTGTTAATTTCTAACTTCAACTAATGGACTCATGATTTCAACTAGTGAAATTTCCAAAATCCTCACAAAACCCCTTCTGATAATTATTATTTACTTACGGATTATTTCTTGTCAGATCATGCAATATATGATCCATATCATTAACATATATGCATGAACCAAGATTCACATGCTTTAAATATTGACATAATTCAGCTAATATCGCTAAACCATTATCAGTAATATGTGTTCGATATAGTGATATCCATTGTAAGTGAATTAATCGACCCAATGTTAAGAAACCATATGATGTAATACCAAGACATGATGATAAATCAAGTTCTACACATATACACACACACACACCAAACAAACAAACAAACAAAAGAAAGAAAGAGAAAGTAAACAAAGTAATTACAGAATTCAATAAACAGCTTTATTTAGTCATTCTGTACATGCATCTACTGAGTAGTAGTTTTGGGCATTGTAAAATAAATATTTATTATTTAAACTTGGATTATTCTGTTGATGATATTTTTGACTGAAATTCAATTAGGTTTGGTTGGCCATTTAGGCACTTTATGAGGATTGCCTTGATATAACCAATATGATATAAGTCAATATTAGAATAGATGAAATGTGGCTAGTAGTGGAATCCATAAAGCGTGTTTTTGTTCTGTTTAAGAATCAATCATCAACCGAGAAGTATTATCATCAGTATCATTAAAGATTAACACTAATTAACATACACGATATAGGAACTTAGTCACAAATATGACTGTAAGTGACAGATAAATAATTATAGCACTCAACCCTTCTCTAATTACTTCAGATCGATATAATACCGTTCACATTAAAACATATGACTGAAAGTTGAGTGCAATAATCAGTGCTTAGTTGCTAAGCTTGAACATTATGATAAAACAAGTATAAATTATAATTTTACTACTCACCTTTTATATATGGACAAGTATTGACAATATGTAACAAGCAGTCATCGTTAAGAAATTTACAACTCGACAAACGTAATGTAGTTAAATAACGACAAGCATCAGTGAGGAAATGACCAAATGCTGTTGGTGATATCTATTAACAACAAAAAAAAGCCGAAAAAATCGATTACCTTTTTTTTCAAAATTAATATAATCACCAATGAACTAACTACTACAACCATCATCAAGAAGGTACAAGTATTTATAAAGAGTTGTCTACACAAGATACTCAACATTCACTGGCCAGATATCATCAGTAACAGCCTTTTCTGGGAGAGAACAAACCAGCTTTCAGTTGAAGAGGAAATTAGGAAAAGACTTTGGAAGTGGATAGGACATACATTACAGAAATCATCAAACTGCATCATGAGGCAAACTCTAACTTGGAATCCTGAAGGGAAGCGGAAAAGAGGAAGGTCAAAGACCATATTACGTCGGGAAATAAAAGCAGATATGGAAAGGATGGATAACAACTAGAAAGAGCTGAAAAGGATTGCCTAGAACAGGGTTAGATGGAGAGTGCTGGTGGACGGCCTATGTTCCTACACGAGGAGTAACAGTAAGTAATACTGTTAGGAGGATCAAATCGAATTTGAATCAAATCAATTTCTTAGGTCTATTAATCACTATGTTTTCTAAAAAAAAATCAATACTTGTTAACTTTTTCATACAATGAAAAACCATCTTATTAAATAGAACATCCCTATTTACGATGTGTATGCACTTTTACCTATGTACTATTATTTTGTAATCTATAGTGTTCCGATTATTTCTTGTTTTCAGTTGATTCCAACAAATTAAAGTAGAGATTGTTTGAAGATGTATCTATAGAGAAGAATATGATATATACATACACATCGATTGTTTATAGTGTGTTTTCATTTAATTCTGATTAACTAATCTTAAAGATAACTCCGCCTGGGGTCCCTCCGGGGGCTACTGCCGGTCTCAAGCCTGGATAAAGGAGGAGGGTTGGGCATGGGGTTAGCGACCCATTCCCGTAGAAAACTAATTCGCTAAAAAACCGCTAACCAGAAAAAAAATTATTCGAACTTAATCTTAAGGATAAGTTTTCTCTTTAGTGATGCATAAATGAAACACGAACACTTAATAATTTGAGGTTTGTAAATCTATAGTGAATATGTGGTTTTCTATTACATTTTTAGACAAAGCTAAAGTTTGGTTTCGAAATTTTACGTTAAACTTGACCATTATGTACGAATCTGTTGTTGATACGCGGTGTTATAAAGCTGATATTGATACGTACTGTTGTCAAACACGTACCTGATTACTTGAAAGAAAGAGTGAAGAAGGAAATTGATTTGGATAACGTATATAGATATCTTTTGGGAAATGAAGCCTGTCATTATCTCGTCCTTTACAAAATAAACTCATTCATTAGGCAATCACATGCATGTATAATTTTAACGATATCCGGTTAGAGGGCAACTTTATTAGAATATTTGAATGGATGTTATAATGATAATAGATGATAAGATCCCTAATCATTCATGCCCCCAAATGCTCTCACATGGCCACACGTATATAGCCTCTGCCAGTGAGGTCCTACTCATTACCTTCTCGTGGCATTACTGTTGGTTACGAAATTGAGAGGACGAAAAGCAAATGTCCGGCGCTTTAACCAGGTTGGTGGACATGGAGAGTCTACCTAAGGGAGTTGGAAAACCCTGATTCCAAACCAATGGTGCACATGGGCTCCAGTATCCTGAAGGAACAAATAGCGTATGAACCAATCGTTGGTCACTGGCTACCATGGAACTACATTTCCTTACGATGCTCCACTGCCTTGTGGATCGGACATTTAGGTGGAAGGCTCCGGGTGTGACCCCCTGAGAAAACCACATGCTTCGATTTAGGCACCCGGGCAGTATCACAGCCCTCACATATAACAAATGAGATTTGTGTGGTGCATATGTAACTAATGCTTCTTGTATCAGTATTTATGTGTTCAAATAAATAATAAATAATAAATGCAAGTTGAAACAGCATTAAAAATCAAGACTAATTTCATATTGATAGATATGGCTTAATTGAATTGGATGAACTATTTTCCATAAGACGTGTCTGGTTTCAAAATGATTACATAACCCCCTTTTGGATAAATAAGTTTGTATCCATGACAGTTTATTCAATTGAAATGTTGATTGATATAAGTCAACAAAAGTTATTCTCTTTGACATTCAATAAGGTAATTATAATATTTAGTTCAATTATATATGAATAGCATTTTTAAAGCCTATACCAATAACATAAACTAGTTCGTTAATGTGATGTTTGAATTTCATTGTAAGCACATATACATCCAAAAAATAGGGGAAATACTATTGACAACATTTTATTATTTAATAGTTGAATTCATGAGTCGATTAAAGCTAGACCATCATGGAAAGCCTGGAAGTACTGGAGTGGAGTTCAACCGTGTCTGTTGTGAGGCAATGACTCACTAAAGACACTGGTGAGCGGTGGCGCAATTTTGTGGATTGGTTGAAGTTAGACATTAACACCGTTGGATGTCGGCCTGTTCAGTGGTCTATAGGCTAAGCATTCGTGTGCGAAACCGATGGTTCTTGGTTTGAGTCCCGCTAGAGAGATTGTGGGTGCGCACTGTTGAGGAGTCCCATACTAGAACGAGACGGCCGTCTAGTGCTTCCACCAGGTTTTCTGATAACATTTTAGGATTTTTAAAACAGGAATAAACATGTATACACACGAATACATATCTACTTAACAAGCATTTAAACTCACCATAGAATAGTTTCCACACCATGACATATCTAAACGTCGTAAATGAGAATTTGGCAATTCAAAATAATCACCTTGATTTAATTCATCTGTTTGTACTTGTAATGCTTCTACTGAACTATCGGATATTTTAACATTCAAATTTTGATTTACAGTTTCATTTTCAGGAAAATTTTTATTATTATACACTAATATATTTTGTATATTGGAAGGAATGGAATCCAATAACCTAGTATGATTACGTAAACGTGCAGCAGCATTTGAACTATAACTACGTACTCGTGCAGCAAATGGTGTATGGACACGTGTTTTAGTACGGTAATTGAAACGTGTACTTAAATTGTGCTGTTGATTAGCTACATATTGATTTTCAATCTTATCATTATTCACTTCTTCTTGTTCTTCTTCTCTACATTGACGACGTAATAAAGTGATTGGTGCAACTAACGATTGACCCGTTGTATAATATTCAACAACTGCTCTTGCAGTCAAATTAACTTGACCAAGACGTTTACCTAAACTAATTAATGTTGAATCATTTAATATTGGCCAAAATGATTGAAGATCTATACTAGTCATATTAGCCAGTGTATCTTTAACTAGACAACGGAATTGACTGTATGGAATAAAACAAGAAAAAGAATGAAATAAAAGAAAAAGAAAGTTTTTATTTTATTTTATGAAGAAATTTACAAACTAATAAACGAACATAAGAATAGAATTCCATGTTCAAAGCTGTTGATTGGTACACCGATATAAATTTGAATTCATTAATTTCAACTAGAATAGTTGGTAAGATTAGAATTCTATGGACGACCTTTGAGTGACGCTTAAGTGACCTTGAGGATGTCCACCTAATGACTAGGGCTTAATGAAGGTTTTAAACCTGTGTGAAGGATACGGATAGTGATTTACAGTTGATGGATAGGGATAGCAATTAGATTTAGGGGCTTTTTTATCACGAACTGATATCAGTTAGAATGTTAAGACGCTATTTAACCAAATGGATGAGTGAATTTCGCGCCTAAATCCAAGAACTGTTATCGTAAATCTGATTGGTTCGTCAATACATTATAATCTCGCCGAAAAGTTGATTATATGTGCTTAAACTTTAAAGCTAAGTTCATACTCATTTGGTGTTGTTTTACTCAAATCTTTCCATTGTTATTTAGGATTGCAATTGATCAGTCTTTTGTTGGTATATATGCATCGTGTGCGGATTGCCTCGATATAGCCATAAGTCATAAGCTTTTTAAGCAGATATGGATAGTGGCTAGCAGTGGAATCCAGGACGCACGTTTCTCCCTATTTGAGACTCGTCCACATGAGACTGATCAATTGCAGTCTTAAATAACAATGGGAAGATTCAAACAAACAATACCAACTGAATTTAAACTCCAACCCATTGAACAAACAAGTGGCTATCAGGTCTCAATAGCTAAGTGGATAACTCGATAACGTTTAAAGCGAACGGTACCGCGTTCGAGTTCCAGGGTGAACATCAACTCTAAGATACAGGTACATCTAACTGACAAGTTCCAAATAGGACGAAACGCGCATCAAACTGGATTCCACTGCTACTTACTATTAGTGCATTATACTTAAACGTTAATTGTATCAATCTATAATTTTTCATAAGGTTAATTCCCTTTTTCTTTAATGAATTTCAATGGAACAATGACAACAATTGATTTAGAATAATATTCATTCATTCTTACTTTATAATCTTATTTATATTCAATTATATAATAAGTTTAAATAAACAACAATGGTCAGTGCATAATTGAAGTGATGAAGATTATCAGTACGATGTAGTAAGGTCATTTAAAAAGGTATAATCAAGGTGAAACAGTAATTATTCAGAAATTGATTAAAATGAATGATGTAATTATAATAAAAAATAAATTAAATAAGGTCCTAGGTTCGAATCCCGCGGGGCAAGATTGTGGATGTACACTGCTAAAGAGTCCCATACTAGAACGGGATAGTTGTCTAGTGCTTCCAGGTTTTCCATAGTAGTCTAGCTTTAATTGATTCATGAAATCAACTATTAAAATACTATAATATTCACAAAAACCCTTTTTCTGTGAAATTAAATAAGTATCTCTACACAACTGAAGTAAATGATTTCTTTGAATGAGCCAATAGGTTATTAAAATAGACAACTGATTTATTTTAAGTGTATACATTTGATTGAAGATTATTATTTAAATGTTAAATACTTTATTCAAGTGTAATACAGTTCTATTCTTTTGTCTATGAATCAATTCATTGTTGAATTTCGTCCAGCATTAAAGTTCAAGCCCAGGCGGAAGCAGGTGGTTTTCTTAGGGAGCCACACTCGGAGCCTTCGACATAAAGGTCTGATCTACAAGACAGTGGAATAACGTAAAGGAGATGCAGTCCCATGGTAGCCAGTGACCAACAATTGGTTCATATGCTATTTGCTCCCTCAGAATTATGCAGTTTATATGCACCATTGGTTTGGATTAAGGGTTTACCAATCCCTTAAGTGAATCCTCTGTATCCACCAACATAGTTAAAGCACCAGACATTCACTTTTCGTTCATTCAATTTTGTAAACAACATCCCCACCCCGAGTAAGACTTCTCTGGCAGTGGTTGTATACACGTGGCTATGTGAGGGCATTTCGAGAAGGTGATCAAACTCTCCCCACTCACCCCACACACAATAACTTGTATATTTACTTATATTTTCATGTTGATTAGAATGAAAACTCTTAAAAGATATGATATAACTATATATATATATCTATATATATATATATATATACAAGACAAAGGCCCCCAAATGCCCTGGTACGGCCGAGAGTGGGGAGAGTCCGCTCTCCCTCTCCAAATGCTCTCACATAGTCACACGTATATAGCCTCTGCCATGGAAGTCCTACTCACTGCCTTCTCGTGGCAGGGGTGTTGTTTACGAAAATGAGAGGACGAAAAGCGAATGTCCGGAGCTTTAACCGGATTCTAAACCAAATCAGTGGTGCACATGGACTCCAGTATCCTACGGGAACAAATGGTGTATGAACCAATTTTTGGTCACCGGCTTGCATGGCACTGCATTTCTTTACGATGCCCCACTGCCTTGTGGATCAGACCTTCGGGTCGAAGGCTCGGGGAGTGCCCCCCCTAAGAAAACCACCTGCTTCGGTTTGGGCACCCGGGCAATATCACAGCCCTCACACATATCGAATGAGATTTGTGTGGTGCATATGTATTTGGTGCCTCCTTGTACCAATATCTATGTGTTAAAATAATAATAATAATCATAATACAAGACAAAAATACAAAAAAATTGTATAAATCACACAACTACTATAACATTCACTTACCGAGATACACATGCACAACGAAGTAAACTTCTTAAACCCAAATAAGAGAAAATATGAAGTAGAATTTCATACTTGATATTATTGTAGATGTTGTTGTCAAGAGAAAAATTCATAAAATAAAATTTTTAATAATTTATAATTATGTAACCAAAAAAACCCTCCACAACTATAGAAGATAATAATAATAATAATAATAACACGTTTTAACCAATACAACATCTTACAATGGAATGAATAGTTTGTACTTAGATAGAATAATACTTTCCAGTATGTTTTTTGCAAGATATCAAATGTTTACGCATAATGATGTAAAAGTATTTAGTGCTTACTTTTTTAGACTGAATTGAATTCAAATACTCTATGGAATAGAAATTATTATTTTTTTTTCATATAAGTCCAAACGAAATAACAGAGAAAGAGAATGGTACAAGAATCTACAATCCATAAAGAGTAAGGTTGCCAAGTCATATCAAAATATAATGTAATCTCATTTATATAATAAATTGAATGAAAATCTTTTCATTGATCTTAATAAAATGTGGAAAGATTAATAGAGATCAGAAGTAAACCTAATACTATGATAAATGATATTTGAAATAGTACAACACTCATGTGATCTTGGGTGCTGTTAGAGGTATGAGGGCGGTTATCACTTCCCGGTTGCCCACACCGAGGAAGGGTTCTTCTGGAGGTACCTGAAAAGGAAATTGGATTAGAGGTGGTCTCAGTGACCTGAGAGCGTGACCGCAGTGCCCAAGGGACAACTGCTTGAGGCCGGTCGCGCACGGCCTTTTCGTGGAAGGTTTTCGACGTGTTAGCTCCGTTCTTCAAAGGGCCTTACCGCCGGAGACGGAGATCCGTGAGGTAAGGTGAGGTGCGCATTCTTAGGGTCGACCTTTTCTAACCCCACCCTTCTTTGTGGGAAGGCAGCATCGCTTTCATGCTGGCTGTCTGAAGGAAACACCTTACTGCTGTCACACCTCTGTACAGTCAGCAGTACGACTTCGCCTTCGGACCTTGGGTTTGTTGCTTTTAGTCTTACCGCTCTTCAACCGACCTATCTGACATGGTAGGATTTTGAGGAACGGCTGTTCCAGTCAGTATAGCTCGGTTGCTTCATCACGATAGGCAAGCCCGACCACCACGTCAAGGTAGCAACAACGCAGATGACATAGTCCTGTTTGGTGAAGACGCTGACAAAATGCAGAGTCTTCTGGTAGCACTAAGCAACAATGCCAGAATGTTTGGGATGCGCTTCTCTCCCTCTAAATGCAAGTTGTTGCTTCAGGACTGGTCTGCATCAACACCTAAACTAAGGATAGGGAGTGAAGTAGTCGAACGCGTTGACAACTTCACTTATCTTGGAAGTCTGATCAGCCCTAATGGGTTGGTGTCTGACGAAATCTCAGCACGGATTCGAAAAGCTCGCTTGGCTTTTGCCAACTTACGTCACCTTTGGCGAAGGCGAGATATCCGTCTATCAATAAAAGGACGAGTATACTGCGCGGCAGTCCGTTCTGTCTTACTTTACGGCAGCGAAACATGGCCTTTAAGAGTAGAAGACACCCGTAAGCTACAAGTATTTGACCACAGATGCCTTAGAAATATTGCTGGCATCTGCTGGGATCACCGGGTAAGTAATAGTGAGGTTAGACGCAGGGTATTAGGTAACGATGGTAAATCAGTTGATGAGGTTGTGAATCTTCATCGACTGAGATGGTTGGGCCACGTATTACGTATGCCTGAACACCGATTACCACGACGTGCAATGCTAACCGGTGTAGGGGATGGTTGGAAGAAAGTTAGGGGCGGCCAAACCCAAACGTGGCATCAGTGCCTGAAGTCACTAACTTCCAGTCTGAGCCATGTTGGTAGATGCAGACTACGTGGTTGGGGTCCGCGTGACTTTCGTAACCAATGGTTGGAGACTCTTGGTGACATGGCTCAGAATCGATCACAATGGCGTCGGTGTATACACTCCCTGTCTTCCCTTAAACTAAGAGATTAAAATCACTTCATATCTTTCTTTCTACGAACTAATTCTTCCTTCCTATACTATATCCTTATTGCAACCTTTGACCTAACCACTCCTATGAATCCGGTGTTCATCTTGTTGTGCTAATGAGGTATGGCAACCTGGACCGATGCACATATGTGCCTGGTCCTACGTTGTAGCTGACTGACTGACTGACACTCATGTGACCTGCCCCCCATGTGGATATTCAGGTACTATCCCATATCTTAGGTGAAAGTTAACAACATGACATTCAAAGGGATTGAGTGGTTATCTAGCTCCCTGTGTTTACACATTAGCAAACTTTCTTAATATCAGATATTTTAGAATGGAACAAGAGGCAAAAGTATAATCTAGAAGACTGCGTGTGACACACCTGATGCAAGACAACATTACTATCAAAAGTAATCCTTCAGAGCAAACTAATGTAGGACAAAATATTTTTTTAATGAATCCTAAAGTGTGATCAGTTGTTTGTTTATCATTTCAAGAAAAGATGTTTCATAATAATTCGATGAATGTCGATACTTCGTTGGCATCTAGCCATATTCTATTAGAGTTCAATATCTAAGTTGCAACAAGCTTGATAACAAGATGTCCAGTGGTTTGAAACCTGTTTGTGAATAAAAGCATAGCAGGATTTATTTAAGTACCTTATTTGTTTCATTAGTGGTCAACATCATTTGTATGTGAATGCTGTGATACTTTTGTCTCTCAAACCAAAGAAAATAGTTTTCTTATGAAGGTTAAAGCCAGAGCCTTTTACTTAAAAGTATTAACCATAAGGTAACAAAGTTACATCAGAAGATGAAATCCCAAGATATCCAATGACTAAATTGGGTTTGTACACATTGACTTACCTAAGATCTCAGCGTCGACAAGCATTATTGATTAAGAGTTACGGTTTTACTACTCCCCTAGGTGAACTCTCCGTGTCCATTAGCCGAAAGATCTGAAGATTCTGGGTGAAACTTATATCTAGATTGTGAATGTGAGCTGTTGAGCATTAAATACTGTGTTGAATAGTCAAACAAATCAATTTCAAACAATTAGTTCCTTTGTTAAATTCCGATAGTGTAATAAGAAGATGAAGATTATCAGAACCATGTTATATATCAACGCAATACATTTCGAACAATCCATAGTGATGGGGTTTCGAATTGTCTTTACATTAGTTTCTTTATTATCCTTATCTGCTCTTACCCTCCATTTCCAATCCAGTTGACCGTTTATTTCTTTATATATAAATGTTCTTAACAAGTAGATGTGTGTGATCAGATAGTGTGAAATGTATTGCGCTAATCTATCATCAGATAGTTCTGATCATCTTCGTCTTTTTATTACACTATCGAAACAAACCGATTCTTGATTTATCTTAAAAGTTATATTAATCTAAGTAAAATTAAGTGCTTAATCAGTCGTGTTTAATGTAAACAGTATGACAAATGACTTTTACAAACAGCTGCTATGCAATTCATGCACATGTATACTACTTACCGGTAAACGAGTTAATGGTCCATGACGCCATAATGCATCCTCATTTAAATAAGTCAAACCAAATAATGAAGACTGACAAATTGTACCTGGTGGCAATGCAACTAAATTTCTACTTTGTAATAATAATAAATTCATTCCAACTGGTGGTATCTGAATCAAACCAGAAGATTTACGACGAATACAGATTGGTAATAATGCTGATGAAGAAGATTTATCCTCATCAATATTCTTATCATCTAATCGATCTGGTGATAATCCAGATAATGTAGCATCTGATAACGACATATCCATCGAATCATCAGTTAGCTAAAAAAAAATCAAAGAGTAAATCACACAGATTCATGGAGATTTATAGTTAGGCAACAATAGATATGAACTGAGAAACAGCTGAAAAATGACAATGAATTTGTAAACCGGTAGGGTTAGATGAAAATCAAGTGCATGTAATCGATATATATATGTTAGGTGGTTACTATGTTGATTATGACATTAAATGAATGAAGCATACTGGGAAAATACATTTGCCAGCTGTAATATATATGTGCACATTTACATAAAAGACAAATTTATAATAACATTTTTGATGGGACTATAATTCATGAACGACCTTGAGAGTGTCCACTTAATAACCAGAACCAAATGAAGGTTATAAACCTGTGTGAGGAATTAGAATTAGAATTTACAGTTGATGATTAAGGTTAGGAATTAAATTTCGGGTTTTCATCACGAACTGATATCAGTTATAATGACAAAACTTTATTTATCCAAATAGAGACCTGTTATCTTATATCTGATTGGTTTCGTTCATAAATTATTGTCTCGCCGCATTTCTCTTTAAAAAATTAAGAAACAAAACTTTCATATAATTATTATTACATTTTTCAGAATTTAAATGAAAAAAGAAAGATTATTTTAAAGGTACAACTGAATACTATGAAATCTTCAATAGGGTATTATTTTTAACAGCTAACACCAAATGCCCTGGTATGGCCGAGAGTGGGGTAGGCCCGCTCTCCCTCTCCAAATGCTCTCACATAGTCACACGTATATAGCCTCTGCCATGGAAGTCCTACTCACTGCCTTCTCGTGGCAGGGGTGTTGTTTACGAAAATGAGAGGACGAAAAGCGAATGTCCGGAGCTTTAACCGGATTCTAAACCAAATCAGTGGTGCACATGGACTCCAGTATCCTACGGGAACAAATGGTGTATGAACCAATCGTTGGTTACCGGCTACCATGGGAATGCATCTCCTCACGATGCTCCACTGCCTTGTGGATCAGACCTTCATGTCGAAGGCTCGGGGAGTGGCCTCCCAAGAAAACCACCTGCTTCGGTTTGGGCACCCGGGCAGTATCACAGTCCACACACACAAATATGGTGTGGCGCATATATATTTGGTGCCCCCTTGTACCAATATTTATGTGTTTAAATAAATGCGGGTGAGATATTTGTCTAAAAATCAAAGGATAAATTTACGATACAGTAGTCTACTTTGTTTTATTTTATAGCTGTGAAATGTAAACACTGAATATAGTGTCTTAGAAACATCACTTGTGTGTGTGTATGTGTGATAATCACCTATTGATCAAGGTTAGGGTTGAATCTAGGGTATTAAAAAAAGATAACACATTAGAAAAGACTATGGATTTCAATTTTCTGACTGGGGTTCGAAAGTGTACTAAACACCAGCTACCTCAAAGGATAATATCAGTCAGTCACCAACAACAACGTAGTACTTCGTACGTACGTACATCAATTCGAGTTGCCATACCACATTAACATAGAGATGCAATTGTCGATTCAAATCCCATTGTGGTAGGGGTAGTAAAAGTATAAGCAGTAATCGGAAACATAGTTTGAAGAGGCTATACACGGGACATAATCCAGTGAAATAAATTTGGAAAGAGAGAAAAGAACGGGATATGAAGAATCCAGAAGATTAGAATTTGGGAGAACACAATGAGTGGATGCACTTGCGCCATTGCAAACCATTTTGAGCCATGTCATTCAGGGTCTCTAACCATCGGTTGCTTTCATCTCTCGGATCCCAACCACGTAGTCTACACCGACCAACATGACTCAGTCCACTTATCAGTGACTTTATGGATTTGTGCCATGTTTTAGTCTGGTCGCTTCTAGCTCTCTTCCAACCTACTCCTACACCATAAAACATCGCACGTCGGGGCAGTCGGTGGTTGCGCATACGTAACACGTATCCCAGCCATCTCATCTGATGAAGTTTCATTAATTCATTAATCGATTTGCCATCCTTACCTAGTAACCGTTTCCTAACAACTGCATCACTTACTCGATGGTCCCAGGATATACGAGGAATGCTTCGAAGACACCTATGACCGAATACTAGTAACTTACGAATATCCTCTGCTCTTATCAGCCATGTTTCACCGCCATTAATTAGGATGGAACGAGCTGCTGCACAGTAAACCCATCATTTTGTTGCTAGACGGATATCTCGCCTACGCCATAAATGACGCAAGATGGCAAAAGCTAGTCGAGCCTTCTGTATCCGTGCTGTGATTTCGTCACACACTAGACCACAAGGGCTAATGGGACCCCCAAAGCATAATATTCACTGGAGTAGTAGGTTAGAAAAAAAGTTAAACTAGGTCAAGCCAAGATATGGCTTGACAATTTAAACAGAACCACATATGCCCCAAGTTCTATACTGTTTACGGCTGACTGATTTTTGATCAAGAGCATTTAAGTGAATGACACTACATTATTAACTCCGCCTGGAGTCCCTCCGGGGGCTACTGCCGGTCCCAAGCCCGGATAAAGGAGGAGGGTTGGGCATGGGGTTAGCGTCCCCATCCCGTAGAAAACTAACTCGCTAAAAAAACGCTAACCAGAAAAAATTATTCAAACCTTTTAAACTCTGCCCTGGGAGTCAGAAGGTCTTCATTTAGAAGAATTATGACGCCTCATGATGAAAGCCGAATTCCTTCGGAAGTTACGAGGCCGATGCCCCTTCTGACAACCAGAGCAACCATTTATTTAGGTACATGGAATGTTCGTACAATGTGGGACACCGGAAGAGCCTTCCAAATTGCTGCAGAAATGAGAAGATACAACCTAGAGGTACTTGGGATCAGTGAAACACATTGGACACAAGTTGGACAACAACGACTAACTACAGGAGAGCTCCTGTTATACTCCGGCCATGAAGAAGAAAATGCACCACATACACAAGGAGTTGCATTGATGCTGTCCAAACAAGCGCAAAATGCACTTATAGGATGGGAATCTCATGGACCAAGGATCATCAAAGCCTCCTTCAAAACAAAGAAAGAGGGCATTTCAATGAACATCATCCAATGCTATGCGCCTACCAACGACTACAATGAAGACGCTAAAGATCAATTCTACAATAGGCTGCAGTCAATCGTCGAGAAGTGCCCAACAAAGGACCTGACCATTCTGATGGGAGATTTCAACGCCAAGGTTGGAACGGACAACACTGGATATGAAGACATCATGGGACGACACGGACTGGGAGAAAGAAACGAAAATGGTGAGAGATTTGCAAATCTATGTGCCTTCAATAAGCTGGTCATAGGCGGCACCGTATTCCCACATAAACGCATACACAAAACCACATGGACTTCACCGGATCACTCTACATAAAACCAAATCGACCATATTTGCATCAACAAAACGTTCAGGAGGACTATAGAAGACGTGAGAACCAAGAGAGGAGCTGATATAGCATCAGATCATCACTTACTGGTCGCCAAGATGAAATTGAAACTCAAGAAGCACTGGACAACGGGGCAGACAGTATCACAAAAGTTCAATACGGCCTTTCTCCAGGATACTAACAAACTCAACGAATTCAAGATAGTCCTCAGCAACAAGTTCCAGGCCTTTCATGATCTATTTATTTATTTATTTTAACACATAGACATTGGTACAAGGAGGCACCAAATGCATATGCGCCACACAAATCCCATTCGATATGTGTGAGGGCTATGATATTGCCCGGGTGCCCAAACCGAAGCAGGTGGTTTTCTTAGGAGGGCCACTCCCCGAGCCTTCGACCCGAAGGTCTGATCCACAAGGCAGTGGGGCATCGTAAAGAAATGCAGTGCCATGCAAGCCGGTGACCAAAAATTGGTTCATACACCATTTGTTCCCGTAGGATACTGGAGTCCATGTGCACCACTGATTTGGTTTAGAATCCGGTTAAAGCTCCGGACATTCGCTTTTCGTCCTCTCATTTTCGTAAACAACACCCCTGCCACGAGAAGGCAGTGAGTAGGACTTCCATGGCAGAGGCTATATACGTGTGACTATGTGAGAGCATTTGGAGAGGGAGAGCGGACTCTCCCCACTCTCGGCCGTACCAGGGCATTTGGGGGCCTTTGTCTTGTATATATATATATATATATATAGATATATATATATAGTTATATCATATCTTTTAAGAGTTTTCATTCTAATCAACATGAAAATATAAGTAAATATACAAGTTATTGTGTGTGGGGTGAGTGGGGAGAGTTTGATCACCTTCTCGAAATGCCCTCACATAGCCACGTGTATACAACCACTGCCAGAGAAGTCTTACTCGGGGTGGGGATGTTGTTTACAAAATTGAATGAACGAAAAGTGAATGTCTGGTGCTTTAACTATGTTGGTGGATACAGAGGATTCACTTAAGGGATTGGTAAACCCTTAATCCAAACCAATGGTGCATATAAACTGCATAATTCTGAGGGAGCAAATGGCATATGAACCAATTGTTGGTCACTGGCTACCATGGGACTGCATCTCCTTTACGTTATTCCACTGTCTTGTAGATCAGACCTTTATGTCGAAGGCTCCGAGTGTGGCTCCCTAAGAAAACCACCTGTTTCCGCCTGGGCTTGAACTTTAATGTTGGACGAAATTCAACAATGAATTGATTCATAGACAAAAGAATAGAACTGTATTACACTTGAATAAAGTATTTAACATTTAAATAATAATCTTCAATCAAATGTATACACTTAAAATAAATCAGTTGTCTATTTTAATAACCTATTGGCTCATTCAAAGAAATCATTTACTTCAGTTGTGTAGAGATACTTATTTAATTTCACAGAAAAAGGGTTTTTGTGAATATTATAGTATTTTAATAGTTGATTTCATGAATCATTGATTCATTGAAGAGGAGCATCAGAACCGACAAACGTAAATATGTGGAAGATTTAGCAACGACGGCGGAAAAGGCTTCAAGAGAAGGAAACATGAGACAATTGTATGACACGACAAAGAAACTCTCTGGAAATCGCCGCAAACCAGAACGACCAGTGAAAAGCAAGGAAGGCAAGGTAATCACCCACATTGAAGAGCAACAAAACAGGTGGATAGAACACTTCAAAGAACTCTTGAATCGACCAGCGCCGCTGAACCCACCCAACATCGAAGCAGCACCCACGGACCTCCCAATCAATGTTGGCCCACCAACAATTGAAGAAATCAGCATGGCCATCAGACAAATCAAGAGTGGCAAAGCAGCAGGACCGGACAACATTCCAGCAGAGGCACTAAAAGCAGACGTAGCGGCAACTGCAAGGATACTCCACATTCTCTTCAATAAGATTTGGGATGAGGAACAAGTACCAACAGACTGGAAAGAAGGACTTCTAATCAAAATACCGAAGAAAGGCGATCTCAGCAAGTGTGATAACTACAGAGGTATCACTCTTCTCTCAATACCGGGTAAAGTCTTCAACAGGGTATTGTTAAACAGGATGAAGGACTGCGTAGACGCCCAACTTCGAGACCAACAGGCAGGATTCCGTAAGGATAGATCGTGTACAGACCAAATCGCAACTCTACGGATCATTGTGGAACAATCAATTGAATGGAATTCATCACTCTACATCAACTTCATTGACTAGGAAAAGGCATTTGACAGCGTGGACAGAACAACACTATGGAAACTTCTTCGACACTACGGCGTGCCTCAGAAGATAGTCAATATCATACAGAACTCATATGATGGATTACACTGCAAAATTGTGCATGGAGGACAGTTGACAAAGTCGTTCGAAGTGAAGACCGGTGTTAGGCAAGGTTGCTTACTCTCACCCTTTCTCTTTCTCCTGGTGATCGACTGGATCATGAAGACGTCAACGTCTGAAGGAAAGCGCGGGATACAATGGACATCTAAGATGCAGTTGGATGATCTAGACTTCGCAGACGATCTAGCCCTTCTATCCCAAATGCAACAACAGATGCAGGAGAAGACAAACAGTGTGGCAGCAGCCTCAGCAGCAGTAGGTCTCAACATACACAAAGGGAAAAGCAGGATTCTCCGATTCAACACAGCATGCATCAATCCAATCACAATTAACGGAGAAGATTTGGAAGATGTAAAAACCTTTACGTATTTGGGCAGCATCATTGATGAACAGGGTGGATCTGATGCAGATGTGAAGGCGCGGATCGGCAAAGCAAGAGCAGCATATTTACAACTGAAGAACATCTGGAGCTCAAAGCAACTGTCAACCAACACCAAGGTCAGGATTTTCAATACAAATGTCAACACAGTTCTACTGTATGGGGCAGAAACCTGGAGAACTACAAAAGCCATCATCCAGAAAATACAGGTGTTTATTAACAGTTGTCTACGCAAAATACTTCAAATCCATTGGCCGGACACTATTAGCAACAACGTACTGTGGGAGAGAACAAACCAGATCCCAGTGGAGGAAGAAATCAGGAAGAAGCGTTGGAAGTGGATAGGACACACATTGAGGAAAGCACCGAACTGCGTCACAAGACAAGCCCTCACATGGAATCCTGAAGGTCAAAGGAAAAGAGGAAGACCAAAGAACACATTACGCCGAGAACTGGAGATAGACATGAGAAAAATGAACAAGAATTGGATGGAACTAGAAAAGAAGGCACAGGACAGAGTGGGTTGGAGAATGCTGGTCAGCGGCCTATGCTCCATTGGGAGTAACAGGCGTAAGTAAGTAACCTGGTTTCGAACTTCAAATTTGTGTACGTCCCGATATATCGTAACAGTGTCACTAGAAATTTGAAGACAATAGAATAGAATTTCTATTATTCAACACCTGATGAACAAGTGAATATATCATCAGAAACACAAATGACTTATTCAATGTTAATCCATCTATCTAAGTCTATACACATATATATAGGAAACAATCAATAAACAGGTCACACACAACATTGTTACATTTACATGTACAAAAACGAATTGGCTTTACAGTAAAAGCCACTTTCAAAGTAATAATTTATGTAAAATTACATAGTATATCTAAAATGTTTAAAAATTACCATAGAATAAGTAATGAACCACTTGGAAACAACCACTTCCCTATGAACTTGTAACAATTCCTGAAACTTAATTAAACTGATACTTTAAAATCTTTGATACAATATTTTAGATAAATTGATTAATAAAATAAAGAGACTGATATAAATTACACTTAAATATAAAGTTAGGCCGTCTAACATAGTTTGAGATTCAAAGAAAGAAACACCACTTTGCCCCCAAATGCCCTGGTACGGCCGTGAGTGAGGAGAGTCAGCTCTCTCTCTCCAAATTCTCCGCGTGTGACCCCCTAAGAAAACCACGTGCTTCGGCTTGGGAACCCGAGAAGTATCTCAATCCTCACACAAATCGAATGATTTATGTGGCGCATATCTATTTGGTGCCTCCTTGTACCAATGTTTATGTGTTTAGATAAAAAAAAATAATAAAACCGATCAGTACTTTGATAGTAAAACTGAATTCTTTTCTAATTTGGTTTTATGCTAACGTAAAAGTAATTGATATCTAATTGATATAAAAATACACAATGATTGTAACCGAAAATACCAACAGAATTACACTTACATCATATGATGATGCTCTTAAACGTGGTGTACACGGTCTTAATAAATCAGAAAAGAATGATAAAGTATTTTGTGAACGATTATTTGATTGTTCTGCACTATCTGAATTGACACCAATTACCAATGATGATGATGATGATGGGGCTTCAAGTTGTCCAGACCATCGTGATATAGTAGTATCCGTTAATTCAGCCCAACCAGATAAACGTACAGCATCAATTTGTGTATAATATCTACATCGTGTACTATCAAATTCAATTCGTAATAAATCTGTTGGATATGGTCGAACATTGGACTAAAAGTAGAATAAAAAAATATGCAAGCACTTTTTCAGAATATATAAATTTATTTGAGTTGATTACTTGGATCTCCCCACTGATGTTAAGGACTAGAATTGGCAAGTCTCAGGCATATGTGGATCGTATGCTGATTGCCTTGATATTGCCAATAAGTTACACGCATTATAAGCAGAGATGGTTGGTGGCTAGTATTGAAATCTACGATGAGTGTTTTGTCCTATTTGGGAATCGTCATTTAGATCTACCTGCATCCCAGAGTTGTTCACCCCAGGACTCGGACCCAGTACCATTCTCTTCAAACGCCATCGCGTTATCCACTTAACTACTGAGTTCAGATAAACAAAACCAATACAAATGAATTTAACCTCATCCTATTGCACAATCCAGTGGCTATCTAAACTCAGTGGATAAGGCGATGGCGTTTGAGGAGAATAGTAATGGGTCCGAGTCCCGAAGTGAATAACTCTTGGAGATAGGTACGTGCAGTTGACAAGTCCCAAATGGGAAGAACATCCTCACTGCTAGCCACCACTATCCATCTCCGCTTAGGACACATAAATTTAATTATTCCTTAATCAGATGAAGAGTCAGTGGAAAAAAACTCGTTGAAAGGCCAGAATGACCTTCGTACCTATTAGAATATTAAGGTAAGGGCATGTGAATAATAATAACCAGATGAGATAAATTAGTTATCCAATTACCTGAAGATTTACGTTTACTAAACCCAATAAGAAAAACATTACTTATAAGTAAGTTATGTACGAAATGTGAGAATTATCATATAAGGATAGATCTTATAAAGTTAATTCATCCTTTCAGTGAAACTTCAGTCAGTCAGTAACAACGTAGAACTTCGTACGTACGTACATCAGTTATGTAAAATGCGCATTATTAATTATTACCCTTAAAACTGGTTACTTCACTTTTTTAGTTGGATGGAGATTATATTTGAAAATGTATATTCAACTGACCAACACATGATTCAAATAGGAAAAAGTGAAGAACATATCATAAATGAGAAAGTATAAACAAGGTATGAACAGGGTCAATGTTAAATAAGTGGGATATCTACAATGTTAGATTCTGACTGTAATTCTCATTACATGTTTAAATCAGTTTCAGAGATATAGAATAACAAGAAATAGTGACTTGGTAGTTTAAAGTCGGAAGCTCTGACCTAGCCTATTAACAAGTACATGTTTATGCACTAGGGTTTAATACTAACTAGTTACCCAAACCACGGTAGATGGAGTGAGGTTCGAACATGCAATCTGATACTTCAGGGTTATATGTTTTAATGAAAACTTCTCCATAACTTCCTAAATATAATGTGAGCGAGAACTGTACCCATGGCAATGTTATATGATAGTGTAAATTGGAGTGGGTGCAGTACGCCCCAAACACTCTATCGCGCCTAATTCTTTTTTAATCAGAAGTCAATCAATTCACATCAATGAATCATGAAAAACGAGAAAATGTAGATAGGAAAAAATCATACCAATTTTGGTTGAAAAATACGTGATTGAGGGAGATATTCTGAATATTGAACCGTAAACGCATTTTCATCATCATATGGTAATGCAGGTAGACATCTGTCAGGATACATATTAGATATTGATCTTGTCCTACAATTAACAACATCTGGACAAGCTAGAGTAGTGCATACATTATTAGAATGATAAGTTAACTGAAGTGGTTGTTGTTGTTGTTGCCGTGTACGGCAATGATCGTCGTCATCGGTGTGTTGAAGTTGAACTAATTGATTTTTGTCTTGATTAGAATAATTTAATTTCCATAAAGTAGTCCATTGAAGTTTACGCATATTAACTGGACTATTTTCTGGTTGACGTCTATAGCAAGCTGAAATGCGTACAATAGCACCTGGATTATAAGTTTCATAAATTTGTAAACACACTGGTATTACTGGTACATCAAAGTATAAATCAACATAATCTTCACTAGTATAATTATCATTATCATCAGGCGTTAAATTGATCGGTTTTAAACTACTTGGACTATTACGCCACCATTTACCGTAAGTTCGCTATAAATATAGAAAATACGTATATAAAATAACGAATTTTCAATATATACCTTTAATTCATGAAATAATAGGATCAAATAATTGGATATATGCATTAATAGAGAAACTCATTTACCGGGTATATATTTAGTGTACTCGTCACCAAGCAAAACAATTTGACGGCTATAATACCACCTAGTAGCTCAAACTAAAAAGGTAGGAGATATTTTGGACTTGCAATCAATTACTTAGAAATCAAAATGCGTTAATTATTGATCCCTAAAATGGATATGCACCAAAAAATTCAGTTTAGCTTACTATGACTATAGTAGATAAGATCAGAAAAAGATTTTTCTCAATCAGTTAGTTAGCTATAAACAATTTAAGCAATGGTTAAGTATGAGTAATATATTTTTAACTATCTTGACAGATAAAAGCTCATGGTCATATCAATCAACTTTCATATCGGTTTAAAACCCTATACCTAACCATAGAGTTACTCACTTGGAGGTCACACCATTTGCCAAGAATGTTTTGAAGGTACCAGGGATCGAGTAATTGAAACCTAGATATGTCTTTCATTTTCACAAGTAGCGCTTCACAGTTGTAGGGTAATACACAGCATACTGTTGTAAAGTACACTTGCCTTTTGATTTACGTACGGACTTCTCACCAATGCCACAAGTAGAGCAAGTTGTAAAAAGTCAGGTGAGCATTTTATATCCGTGTTGAGATTTTGTATTGCATCAATCCACCAGGGTTGGTGAGACTTCTTAAATAATTAAAACTGTCAACAAATTTGAATATCACACTTTTTAATGTCAGACTACGCACCTATGCCGATCGGTCCCGAGGCAGCTTCTTGCATTTATAAGGAGAGAGAAACAGATTATAAGCGTTCTTAAGTTATCGTACCTGGAGAAATCTCAGTTACTGAAATTAAAACAAATCCAACGTTCTGTTCAAATGTCTGGTTCAAGTCTCTCAAGGGAAGTAATCAAAAATCACTATTTTAAAAGTGTTTCCTTTGACTTCTATAAATTGTGACTATTTTTTCAGTAGAATTGCTATGAGAATAAAATGACCCAGAAGAACTACATTAGCACAGGCCACTAAAATTGTTAACTTCTGACAATAGAAACGTATTTACAATAAGAAAATATATGGTATCAAATAATGAACAAATTACTAGGTCATGACTGTAGTGCTAAAATATACGAGTACGATTTGACAGTACACCCCCAATATATACTTTTCTGATGATAAACTCCAGAAAATCTAAAACTTTTATTTAGATTTATTATCCCAAAACAAAGACAACGTGCCGCATTTAATTACATTTATAACTTTTTTTCAAGATCAAATAATTATTAAAACAACATGTCTTATCAATTTGGCACTAGCTTACTATTTGATACATCAATAGAATCAACATAAAGAACTTCTAGGCAAAATGGAATACAGTTAAAAACCATTTGAACTAACATTATGACTAGATTTGTAATAAAGAGTAAAGGCTAATAAATTACATTAGATTTTTTCTATTATCTAACCTTAGTAGGGAAGAAAATACAAGAGATAACACGTTCACATACAATTTCTTAGTTTTTTTGTAGTCACTAGTATTACAATTACTGGTTTGTAGAAGAATACAAGAAACTACTCCTCATGAGAAATGACTGACATGAACTGGTACAAGCATCAACTTTTTGAAATCACTAGGTAACTATCTAAAACCACATCACGTAGTAAATCCTCAAGATTTTTAAGCCTATTCTCTAATCACGTAGCACTGTAAGACTACATAGTTACTTCATTTATTGACAAGTTTATGTACTCGCATTTCGATTATGGAAAATAACAGGGTTATCACATTTTGAAAGACGCAAAACTGTTGATTAAAGAAATAATCTGCTGAAAATTGATGTTTTACAGTGTAAAAAAATGTGTTTACATTTAACAAGTGATGAGAACCTGCTTATCTAGAACTAAATGCAGAACAAAATGTAACAGGATTAAGACCAAACTTCGTTTAGAAAGAGCATAACTAATACTCTAAGGGAAAACATACACAGAATACTAAACAGTAGAAGTGATTTAAAACATGTTTTATATTTCTTCCGACTAGGAAATAGCGCTATTTAATAAAAAGACGGAGATATTTTTCCTCGCTGATTTAATTTTGTTGTTTCGATCGTTTATTACACATCAAAACTACTGCTTTCGCTTTCATTGAATTTAAAGCAATTAGTCCCTTTTATAAATTTTGATACAACAATGAGAAGACGGGGTTGACCTGAAAAATGTGATGTATTTGCGCTATACATTTAGAACAATCTGACCACACATATACTTGTCAGGGAGTTTTATATGAAAATTAATAAAGGTACATAAGCTTTCAAAAAAGAAAACCGGGTCGCCTGAGTGACTATCATTGCCAAGAATAACACAAGGCATTTATCATCTTTTCCAAAGTGAAACTGAAACAGTTCGGACACTATTAATCAACCTTAAATTGGTAAGTTGTCTCAACTCAGATATTTAAAACCTCGTACCCAAAATCCTGATGAGTGGTTTATACACCATTAAGTAAGTTACTGCAAGCTACTGTCTTCGTAATTTATGCCATATTCGCTTCGTAAGGAGGCTCTAATTAACAAATCAAATATGTATCGTAAGACGAATGTCTTCAGTAATAAGGATAGGAGGTCTGTCGACCTATATTAATCCTTGCAGTTTGTAGTACTGTGGAGGTCCAATCTCGTTTTGAATATATTAACAGACGGTGCTGATATTACGTGTTCCGGTAGAGAATTCCAGTAATTCACTACTCGGTGCGAGAAACGGAACTCCAGACGTAAACGGTTTGATCTCGGTTTTTGAACTTTCTTCGAATGTCCTCTCAAATGATCGGTTCTAGACGGAAGCAAAAGATAAGACATGTTAATGCCAAGGTCATCGTTCAGTATACGATAAGCCAATATTAGATCACCCCTTATTCTACGGTAAGATAACGGAAATAAGTTAAGGTGTCTCAGTCTGTCTTCATAAGATAGGCCAGCTAGACCTTGTACCATCTTAGTAGCTCGTCGTTGGACTCTTTCTAGCATATCTGCTTCATATTTGAAACAAGGACTCGCTGCTTGAATCCCGTATTCTAAATGTGGTCACACATAAATCGGGTATAGTAATCCAAACATTTCATCATCTAAATACTGAAAAGACCTACGAATTGACCATAATACCCTATAGCCTTTTGCAGCAGCAGCCTTACAGTGACTAGTCGTTTTGAGATCATTGCTTAATATAACTCCTAAGTCTTTATAGTTTCTTGCTTTGGGTAGCACGAATCCACGTAGTGTATAGTCATACGATTCATCAGAGTTATTTAACTGCATCACTACACTCTTATTGGGATTTACTTCTAGTGACCACCTGTCTAACCATGCCACCAATGAGCTAAGATCGTCCTGTAATACTATTCTATCCGACATACTATGTATGGGTCTCCAAATCTTTATGTCATCAGCGAAGAGTAGAACGGATGATTTTGCTACAGTTGGCAATTCATTTACATAAAGTAAAAAGAGAAGAGGACCTAGGATTGTGCCTTGGGGAACCCCACTTTTTACAGGTACCCACGAGGAGAGAGCCCCATTAACCCTTACCCTTTGTCTCCTGTCGTGGAGAAAGTTACTTATCCAATCGACGACTGTGTTATGGATTCCAAAACGTTTCAGTTTGAATTTAAGACCAGAGTGTGAAACCTTATCAAAGGCTTTACTGAGATCTATGAAAACTACATCCACAGGAGCATTCCGATCCTTTGCCGCAGCTCACTCTTCTCGTGCAATGAGAAGATTTGTCAAGCAAGATAGGCCTTTCCGAAAACCATGTTGTGCCCTGGAGAAAAGATTTTGCCCTTCAACATAGTTTATAACAGCTATCCGAATGATTTTCTCCATCAGTTTCACAACTGCACTAGTTATGCTAACGGGTCTATAGTTACTAACTAAATCCCTACTCCCAGCCTTATACACCGGACTTATTATGGCGTCTTTCCAGTCTCTAGGAAGTCTGGACTGTCTCAGAGACATGTCGAATAGTATCGCTAATGGTTCAGCAATTTCATCTGATATGGCTTTCATAATCCTAGGATGAATATCATCGGGACCACTGGACTTATCAGGTTTGAGATGCTGAAGTAGCCTTAAAACAGTATCTTTCTCAATGACTACAGGATCCATCATCGAGCCGTCACGGTCACAATGAATCATTGGTCGTTCCTCATTACCGATAGAAAACACTACTAAAATATTCCGATAAAGCTTCAGCTTTTTCGGCATCATTCTCTGCTAAGATTAACGGATTGTCTCGTATCAAAAGTGATGGAATTCCATCGCTTCTCTTAGTTCGCCTTTTTATATACGAGAATAACCGTTTCGGACTATATCTTGAATCCCTAACCAATTGTTTTTCTTATGAATGTCTAGTCTTGCTTATTAACGCTTTACAGGCATTCCTAATCTTACAATAACTGGATCTGTATTGTTCTAAGCCAGTAGAGATGAACATATTCCAGTGATTCTTCCTTTTTCTAAGGAGTTTCCTGACCGTTTTAGTTATCCATGGTGGACTATTATTCGGTCTTCGCGGTACCAGGTATGGTATGAACGGGGACGTAACTAGTCTAAATTTACCTTTAAATACAGACCATGCTTCTTCAACTGATATGCTAGTATCTACTAACCAATCTGTCTTAGCAGCGCATTCCTGAATGGCTGATATGTTAGCTTTCCATACATTTGGGCGCGGTGTAACCTGATCGTATAACATGTCCCTAGTTCTAAACGCGAATGACAAAACAGCGTGATCGCTGTTTACTAACGGTGGAAGAATATTTAAGTCGACAATATCCTCAGTCTCATGAGTGATTACCAAATCCAGCAGAGAAGAACCCTGGTTAACACCAAAACGTGTGGGTTGGGATACATGCTGCTCTAGTGTATGCTCCATTATTGTTATCAGTAACCTACTATCAAAGGAGTTTATAGATCCTTCTGTGGTCATATCAGTCCAACTAATATCAGGTGCGTTAAAGTCTCCTATTATCAAGCACCTGGTATTATCACTCCAAAGATGAATGTGCTCTAAAACAAAGTCATCAGCTAAGCAGATTGGACTACGATAAATGACACCTAGCATAAATGTACTACATCCTATAGCCAACTTACAGCTAATGACTTTACAAGTGCCGCTATCATGGGATTCGCTAATAGAGGAGCGGATATTTATGCTATTGGCTATGTATAACAGGACGCCGCCTCCTTTCCTACATCTATGTCTATCACTCCTGATGCAATGGTATCCGGATAATTCTGGAGTAATGTCTAAGTCATGGACTAACCAAGTTTCTGTCACTGCTACTATGAGTGGCTTTAACCTATCTACTAGTGCTTCTATTTCATAGAACTTATTTCGTAAACTACGAGCGTTGGCATATAAAACTCCTAAGTAGAATAGCCTATCCACACAGGCCTTGGTAGCATTCGCTTCCAAGACAAAATGCAGAGTCTTCTGGCAGCACTAAGCAACAATGCCAGAATGTTTGGGATGCGCTTCTCTCCCTCTAAATGCAAGTTGTTGCTTCAGGACTGGTCTGGGTCAACACCTGAACTAAGGATAGGGAGTGAAGTAGTTGAACGCGTTGACAACTTCACTTATCTTAGAAGTCTGATTAGCCCTAATGGGTTGATGTCTGACGAAATCTCAGCACGGATTCGAAAAGCTCGCTTGGCTTTTGCCAACTTACGTCATCTTTGGCGAAGGCGAGATATCCGTCTATCAATAAAAGGGCGAGTATACTGCGCGGCAGTTCGTTCTGTTTTACTTTACGGCAGCGAAACATGGCCCTTAAGAGTAGAAGACACTCGTAAGTTACTAGTATTTGACCACAGATGTCTTAGAAATATTGCTGGTATCTGCTGGGATCACCGGGTAAGTAATAGTGAGGTTAGACGCAGGGTATTAGGGAATGATGGTAAATCAGTTGATGAGGTTATGAATCTTCATCGACTGAGATGGTTGGGCCACGTATTACGTATGCCTGAACACCGATTACCACGACGTGGAATGCTAACCGGGGTAGGGGATGGTTGGAAGAAAGTTAGGGGCGGTCAAACCAAAACGTGGCATCAGTGCCTGAAGTCACTGACTTCTAGTCTGAGCCATGTTGGTAGATGCAGACTACTTGGTTGGGGTCCGCGTGACTTTCGTAACCAATGGTTGGAGACTCTTGGTGACATGGCTCAGAATCGATCACAATGGCGTCGGTGTATACACTCCCTGTCTTCTTTTAAACTAAGAGACTAAAATCACTTCATTCTTTCTGTCTACGAACTAATTCTTTCTTCCTGTACTATATCCTTATTGCAACCTTTGACCTAACCACTCCTATGAATCCGCTGTTCATCTTGCTGTGCTAATGAGGTATGGCAACCTGGACCGATGCACATATGTGCCTGGTCCTACGTCGTAGCTGACTGACTGACTGACTTACTGACCTGACTATCCGAAAACCCACTAGTCAGAGATTTTCCTCGCCGTTTTGCCGACGGGTTTCAAGTTCAGCTAGTGCTTTCTTCCTTTTTATTCTATCTTCGAGAGACATGTCAGGTCTAACTCGGATGTCAGAATTGTCGTGACAACGAGCGCTACTTAACAAGAGATCCCGTTGCTTCTCCGATCCTAGGATTACCTTGAGTCTGCATGGACGTGGTATGCACCTTATGCCAGATAGCCACGAAATGAAAACAGAAATTCAAAATGATATAAAATTATGAATTAACTTACAAAAGCTGCTGTTGCGTTGGAATCACAATAATTTGGATACACTTGACACGGACCAACAATATTTGCCGCTGTAAATCCAGTTCCACTTTCTGATCCATACTGAGAGCTGAAGTCAACGACTTCATGAACAAATTGATGAACTAGTTCCCACTTTGTTCGTTTTCGAGCCATCAGTCAGCTCGTAAAATTTTTGGTACTGAGATGCTGGTATTTGAACTCTACCGCGCTCTCCGTTATGGCCTTGAACGACCTTCTATTGGTTCAAATGATTGTGGATGGAATAGAAGATTTCGCTTAACGAGCTTCCGTATCTAGTAGCAGTGGATCACCAATACCTCCAGGCAGGAAACTGGGTATATTGACAATAATAGAGGAAAAAGAAACTGGTAAACATTTAGTCTACAGACCTTTCTGTTGTGTTGTGTCTGCAGGTTCTGGCTGTTACCCCTGAGGTTTGTGTTGAAACTAAACTTAAGTAAGTGTTCAGGGGGATGTACAGAAGTATCAAAGATAATGAACGCCATTAGAAGGCCATCTGTAAGACACCTGTACTTCGATGGGTAAAGGTTCAGTAATTGGAGGCTCTCTTCATAGAGCTTGAACTTGAGTCCTGGAAATGATTTCGTGGCTCACTGATGGATACGTTCCAGAGTTTCCTTATCCTTTTGAAGTTATGAAGGAAATGCTATGTTCCCGTACTCTAAAGTGGGACAAATGAAACTGCTGAAGGTTATGTGGAAAGTTCTTCCATCAAACTGGCCAGGAATGCGCTCCAATGTTACCAGTGCAAGGTTTGCTCGAAAGGCATTTTTGTCACAGTTAGCGTAAGATTTCAAATCATAGGGCGCAAGCAATCCCAAATCTTTTTCAACCTGGGATATTTCTAGAGAGCAGTTTTTTAACTTGTAACTGTAGTCCGCAACATGTCGCAGATGGACTACTTTACACTTTGAAGTGTTATAGTTGAGTCCGTTGCCATCTGTCTATTTTCGAAGTCCAGTCAGACCCTTCTGAAGTGCCTGTATATCGTCTTGGTTGCGTATTTCTATACAAAGCTTCACATTGCTAGCAAAAAGTAATAAGTCCGACGATACCTGTTGCGGAAGATCCTTTATATAAGTCAAGAAGAATCGTTCCTGGTACTGGACCCTGGGGAACCCCATTGCCAGGCACGGACTGGCGGGTAAGACACGGATTTTCGCGCACACGTTACATATTGTCGTGGATTTTTTGTGTCGTTATTTATCAGCTATTAACAGGCTTTTTTGCATGACACATCAATTTCTGTATTGCTAGTGCTTGTAGCATAGTTTTTATTCCAATTTATTGGCAGTTTGACGTATTTCTTGCTCACCACGTAAGTAAATCTGAAGTCAGCTTAATATAGTTATTTGTAACAATACAAACTCAAGCAAGTAAAGTTCACCGTGTTTCTAGTCAAAAAATACATCACAGATTGAGTTTTCATGAAAATGAACCGTAAAATTTTTTACATATGGTTCACCTCCTTGATTGCGGTGACGGTGAACATGGATGTCGGTAGTTGTTTATAAAATGTAAGTAAAAGCAATCAAGCGTTAACCAAATTGTGAATATTATATAACTTGTTTGTATTTAGCCATAAAAAGTTATATCCATTAGACGTACCATTGTTTTGTACTGAAGTGACATAATTATGTAACGTAAAAAAAATATGTGAGTAACAATTGACGTTTATAGTGTTGTCCAGCGGCTTTCTGAATGTCTGCAGTAATAGTGTATAACGCCACATCAAGTAGGAACGAAATCTTCATGAATAAAACGATCGGTGTTTCTTGTGAGAATGGTGACACAACCATGTTTTTTAGTTAATACTGATTTGTGACGTGTCTGTTATAGGGTTCACAAATGAGTTATTATATACTCTTTACTCCGTTTCGGTAATACAGTTGTTGTGTTACTTAGGAAGTTATGAATGAATGTCACTACTTGTTAATAAAAGACTTATAGGCACAGTCTGTTACTTGCTATTTGAATAACTTATTGAATATGATACTGAGAACAAAGTTTAATTGTTTGTCTCAAAACGGATTTGTTGTTTTTCAGAATAGTATGAAGCTTATGGCATTTAGGATTACGGAAGATCGTGTGGAAAACCGGTTTACAAGTTTACGATAACTGTTTTATATTGCCTACTGCTATGCTCATTCATCTAATGAATTATTTAAATATAAATATAACAACCATACGCAGTGTTTTATATTATAAATCCTGTAAGTTTGTATAATTATGGTCTAAATAAAGCCGAAACAAATATTGACGCACAATCATGTGACTGCATTACATTTCGTGGTTTCTTATAAGTTGCATACAACTGAATATGCATTATAATTTAAGATTGAGGGAAGAAATAGTATGAAAGATAATAGAAAGCAAGGAATTGGAATGACCTAGGTTATCAATAATAACTATACATATGTATATGCTTGAACAGGTCAAAGGTCATTTGGTGTTAGACTTAAGGGAACATAAAGGATGGGTGGTGTAATAGTCGAGTGAAGCTCAGAAGCATATAAGATAAATTGTGTGATAATTCTAGATGTAATGAATAAATCAGTGAATTAAGAACTAATAAGATAAGTGAAGACAATCTGAGGAGGTAACATAATTTAGCAAAGAAGTGTGAGTGGAAGGGTGGTCTAAGGATTACGTAATCCATCTTATCAAGAAACTAGCTGCATGAAATTGTCTAGTTCCATACTAATACTAACTTGATAATGGACGTAATCTGACAACGGAAAATATGTAAGGCGGTTGTTTAATCTGTAAGGTTTTACGTGGAAGTCGCATTATTGTTTTATTTGACTCGTTGATTCCTCACAATGAACAACGATATAACGCTAAGTTCTAACGACAGTTCGTAACTAATACAGTAGTACAAATTCTTAATTTTCACACACAATTATTCGTTAAAGCGATTGGTTAACCTCCCCATGAAAGTATGAAGAAGACGAAAATAAAAAATGATAAAAAGTTTATTGATTTTTCATGACTACTAAAGTGGAAAGATAAGTTTACCAGTTGTATAAATAGTGGTCTAAAATAAAGCCATAAAGAACTGTTAATCGTAAACCTGCTGTCTAGCTGTTTATAATTCTTAAGTAAAAATTGTAGACTTTTCTCTCCACCTGATTCGCGAAGCGTTCACCATATTTCTCAACAATTTGTTGTTTGCACATTCTTTGGAGCCGTTGAAGTTGTATATATTCTTTACTCCGTCTCCGTAATGAAATTCCTGTGTTGTTTTGTAAATTGTGCGTATTGTCTAATTTCCATCTGCAGCAACACCTAAGAAGTTGATGAGCTATGCAGTTAATATTTTATAATTTAAATAGCTTACCTGTTAGATTTCGTCTTTTAATATATGCCAGCAGGAGATGGCGGCACGGATATCGACACATATTAAACGTGCTACAATTGCATTCACAAATACTTACATCTACTTCGTAATGTTGTCCGCGGTCAAGCATAAACAACCACTCGCCGCTTTCATATTCTAAGTTAACGAAACGCATTTTTTTAAGTTCGTATAACACTTTGGATCTTGCGAATGGGGTCAACATGTTCAGCAAGGGTATTGTTTTACGTGGCATCCAGAAACGTGATAGGTACTGGCCTATCACTCTGTCTCTGCGGTTTATTATTCTGTAATATTGATTAAATCTAGTGAATAAATACATTAAAAAATTACCTTCCGACCGTTTCTGCGGTTACCAGTCGAGTCAAGTAGGTTTTTATTATTTTATCATCACAAATGTTTCTGCTTTGGTCGTGTTACCCATTATCTCCTTGAATTTATCCAAAATCCACGCAACATCAGCACGCTTTTCTTTTTTTGTCCATGCAAACATAACAGTTCGACCTCGACCCCAATTGTCTGTTACCACTAACTGGAATAATGAATACCTACATAGTAGAACAAAACGAAAATCATATTCACTTTTTATTATTAGTTTTATAAGTAGAATCAATACACACGACTTCGGGATATTGATTGTACAGCCGTATCTGATCATAACTGCTGAAGCATATCGCCGTAATAGATCCATTTTCTGCATTCTCTCTAACTTCACCGTTTTGTCGCATCATCTGCAATACCTGCTTCCGAGTCCAACCTGAAATATATTTATATACACTTACCAGTGGAGAGTTCAGCTTCCATATTTTTGACATCAGCAGCGGTCACCTGCTTACCTGTTCTTTCCTTAATACTTTCGATAACTTCGTCCGTCGACTGACAGTGCAATATAACTGGTTTCAAGTTTTCTTTTTCTTCTGATGACAATCTTCTACTCAACGGATCACAAACCATCCACGAACTAGTACACGGATGGTTGTGAGACATGTTGTAAGATTTTATAACGTATTGTTACCCTCCAATCTTACGCGAAACATCGATTGGCAATTTAAAAATTTAGACCTTAAATGTAACACATTAGTTAGAGTCCCCACGGTTTTTTATTCACATTCAGACCTTCTGATTTACGTTTACGACCAAACGTGCAACGAAACACTACGAACAAGTATTTATATCTCACATCCTTCAACAATCTACTTTCTGCGTGAACATAGTGTGTATGGGTCATCTGAGAAAACACAGATTTATCCCACCATACTTTATGGAAATCCTTTAGCGCATTATCTAATTCAATCCAGCTTCCGAATCTCTTATTCAGTATAATACGTTGGAACGCGTCGCTTACGTTCACTGAAATTTCACTTGAGCATGAAGCACTAGAGACAACATACAATAGCTATTAAAAAAAGGTTATTCCTTGAAAAAAATTAACTGAAGGAAGAACAACAAATATTTAGGACTTACCCTTCAGTTGACATTTCGTCTTAACTCACAAAAACTATGCGCATCTATAACCTTTTACGTTATTTTATCTTTCTTACGTTGTTTTCTGGACCTTATCAACAAATTATATATAGCTGTTGACTTTCACTACAGCACTTAGGACCACAGATCAAGTTTCGAAGGAATAACAGAGCTAAAGTGTGCACTACAAAACAGAAACTACTCAGTTAATGCTCTTAGCAGTTATTTAGTGTTTATTATGCATCAAAAGATGACTTATATATGGAAACATTTAATACTCATAAGACCCAACACACACACGGCAATTGAAATACGGAATGCCCGCTTCCAGTCAGCGCGTTCAAGGTCGTTGAAACGAAACGGCGGACAGATTTGAAAGGGATTACCGTTTTTACCTTGCCCCATT